TGCTAGTAATAAAAAAAAAAAAATTCCTGTATCTATTTCACCATTTGTAAACGCTATAACTTTCACATAAACCAATTAATTTACACGTATTGGGATTTTTTTATTAGCAAAAACATGTCACAGAATACATTTTGGCCTAAATTTATGACGAAATTTGATAAATTTTATTTACTGGACATGTTTAATAGCAAAAAGTAAATAATATTGTTTTTTTTTTCTCAAAATTGTCGATCTTTTTTTGTTTATAGCGCAAAAAATAAACGCAGAGGCAATCAAATTCCACCAAAAGAAATCTCTATTTGCAGGGAAAAAATGGCTTAAATTTTATTTGGGTGCAGCGTCGCATGACCGCGCAATTGTCAGTTAAAATAACGTAGGAGCTGTATTGCAAAAAATGGCCTGTCAGGAAGGGGGGGGGGGGAATCCTCTGGAGGGCAAGGGGTTAAAATTGAAAAAACTCAGCCTTTCCTATCGCTGTTAGAGGGGCAAACTGCTGGAGGTGTTATAGAGGTGAAGGTGGGAAGGTTTGGACAGTGATGAAAGGAGAGGTCAGAGTCCAGGATTGCACTTCGCTCCCTGGTATGATGGTGGGGAAGGATCGATCTGTTATTGATCTCCATGGAAAAGTCAGAGGAGGAGACTGGGGGGGGGGGATCTGAACAGTATATTATCACCAGTGAGCTGGATTGTAGCGTGTTGGAAGTACATCCGTCATGTTGTAACATGCACAGAGAACACGCAGCAATATCCCCGGGAGGATGTTCGCATGTTTCAGATGGTCATGCATTTTTCTGTGTTGACACCTGAGGTTTGAAGCGTTCTGTATGAGTGAGGCTCCAGGGCCCCTACATACACCCATATCATAGGTCTGCACAGTGACATCTACTTCTTGTTGTGTCTTCCATGAGCTGCACCGCATGTCTTACCCATAGATCTGCATCACATACCAAGCCGGACGTGGCCATGAACGCGATACGCCAGCACTTGTGTTTGTCAATGTTTCCAAATGTAACGCTTAGAAAATTATACCCGTGTGCATGTACATGTGAGGGCAGTTGTTTACACGTACATAGTCACATACGGCGGTTTTTGGAATTCAACCCAGGACCCTGCATTCACTGTATCTGGGCCCTGCGTTCACTGTATCTGGGCCCTGCGTTGGGCCCTGCGTTCACTGTATCTGGGCCCTGCGTTCACTGTATCTGGGCCCTGCGTTCACTGTGTCTGGGCCCTGCGTTCACTGTGTCTGGGCCCTGCGTTCACTGTGTCTGGGCCCTGCGTTCACTGTATCTGGGCCCTGCGTTCACTGTGTCTGGGCCCTGCGTTCGCTGTGTCTGGGCCCTGCGTTCGCTGTGTCTGGGCCCTGCGTTCGCTGTGTCTGGGCCTGCGTTCGCTGTGTCTGGGCCCTGCGTTCGCTGTGTCTGGGCCCTGCGTTCGCTGTGTCTGGGCCCTGCGTTCGCTGTGTCTGGGCCCTGCGTTCGCTGTGTCTGGGCCCTGCGTTCGCTGTCGCTGTGTCTGGGGGCCCTGCGTTCGCTGTGTCTGGGCCCTGCGTTCGCTGTGTCTGGGCCCTGCGTTCGCTGTGTCTGGGCCCTGCGTTCGCTGTGTCTGGGCCCTGCGTTTGCTGTATCTCGTCTCCCACAGTACACAGAACATGGAAATGCAATTATTTTAGGACATATAAACTGCTAAATACCTTTTCTTATCAGCAGTATATAGCAGTCTTGTGACTTCTATCAGTGTGCAGCAGAGCACATGTTAAAGCTTGTAGGAAGAGTTTTCTTTATGCTCTAGGAGGATACAGAACCCTTGACCTCTGCCTGAACAGTGCTGATTGGCCCTGTGCTGATCACATGCACTCTCCCAAGGAAAAAAAAAACCTTTCTAGCAATACACACCAAACTGAGCACGTGCACAGTGACTCCACATGATATGTCTTATCAGGAGATAAAAGGGGGACACTGGAAGAAGGGGAGGATTAGAGAAGACAGGATCAAGCAGCCTTTTTATGTAGTGTGGATGATTAACCCCTTAGGTTCCACAGTGAGTATAACAAGCATGCTTTACTGCATATACAGACTGACTTTACTGTTGGGGGTTTAGTAACACTTTGAGGTCTATGGATAAAATACATCACAGCTGTACCTCACAGGAGCCACAACCACAAGCGGAGTCAGCGCTGCATGGCCATATGCCTAATAGACGGCCTGTACAAGAGCCTTACGCCTTACAAATACACATATACAAGAGGTTTGTAACCACTTCCAGTCCAGACACTTTCACCCCTTCCTGTCCAGGCCAATTTCCAGCTTTCCGTGCTGTCACACTTTCAATTGACAATTGCGCGGTCATGCGCCACTGTACCCATATACATTTTTTAGCATTTTTATTTATTCACCACTGGGATTTTAATTTTTTTTTTTGCTATATAAATGAAAACTCCAAACATTTTGAAAAAAAAGTGTTATAAAATTTTGCAAATCCATCCCTCTCTGCCAATCCCTCCACTGGCCTCCACTCAGTGTCCTCAATTCCTCTCTGCCAATCCCTCCACTGGCCTTCACTCAGTGTCCTCCATCCCTCTCTGCCAATCCCTCCACTGGCCTCCACTCAGTGTCCTCCATCCCTCTCTACCAATCCCTCCATTGGCTTCCCATTGCCCAACAGATAAAATTCAAAACATTAACAATAACATATAAAGCCATTTATAACCCTGCCCCAAATTACATCACCATTGTCTCCAAATATCACCCAAATCGTACTCTCCGCTCCTCGCAAGGCCTCCTACTCTCTAGTTCCCTTGTCTCCTCCTCCCATGCTCATCTCCAGGACTTTTCCAGAGCTTCCCCCATCCTCTGGAACTCTCTACCCCAATTTATCAGACTATCGTCTACTCTGCCCACTTTTAGGTCATCTCTGAAAACCTCTCTCTTCAGGGAAGCCTATCCTGCCCTCAGCTAATACTGGAATCTTCTATTCCTCTTACCAGTCCACCCCCCACAGTTACTACCTTTTGTACCACCAGCCCCTCCCTCTTAGATTGTAAGCTCCAAGGATCAGGCCCTCCTATCCCTCTTGTAGTGAACTGTATTGTTGCTGTATTGTCTCCCGTTATATTGTAAAGCTCTGAGCAAACTGTTGGCACCATAAATCCTGTATAATAGTAATAATATTAGCCAATAGAGAAAAATTTCATCTGTGACATCAATTGTTGCCATGCAGAAAAATGCTCTTGGTCGCGCCACAGCGCATGAAAATGCACGTTGCCATGGATTTCTATGGGTATGAAAACATGCCAAAAATGCATCCGTCTGCCCGAATGGAGCTACAAACCTTCAGATCTCTCTTACGCTTTATGGGGATGTGAACCGTCTCCATAGAGTAATATTGAGTTGTTTCTCCCTGAGCTTCGAGCTTCCAAATGCTCAGGTGTGAATGGGGCCCAACTTCATCTCCCCGCCCAGAGCCACGAGGTCCTGTATACGGCCCAACTTCATCTCCCCGCCCAGAGCCATGAGGTCCTGTATACGGCCCAACTTCATCTCCCCGCCCAGAGCCATGAGGTCCTGTATACGGCCCAACTTCATCTCCCCGCCCAGAGCCATGAGGTCCTGTATACCTCCCAACTTCAGCTCCCCGCCCAGAGCCATGAGGTCCTGTATACGGCCCAACTTCAGCTCCCCGCCCAGAGCCATGAGGTCCTGTATACCTCCCAACTTCAGCTCCCCACCAGCAGAGCCGTGAGGTCCTGTATACGGCCCAACTTCAGCTCCCCGCCCAGAGCCATGAGGTCCTGTATACCTCCCAACTTCAGCTCCCCGCCCGGAGCCGTGAGGTCCTGTATACCTCCCAACTTCAGCTCCCCGCCCAGAGCCATGAGGTCCTGTATACCTCCCAACTTCAGCTCCCCGCCCAGAGCCATGAGGTCCTGTATACCTCCCAACTTCAGCTCCCCACCCAGAGCCGTGAGGTCCTGTATACGGCCCAACTTCAGCTCCCCGCCCAGAGCCATGAGGTCCTGTATACCTCCCAACTTCAGCTCCCCGCCCAGAGCCATGAGGTCCTGTATACCTCCCAACTTCAGCTCCCCGCCCGGAGCCGTGAGGTCCTGTATACCTCCCAACTTCAGCTCCCCACCCAGAGCCGTGAGGTCCTGTATACGGCCCAACTTCAGCTCCCCGCCCAGAGCCATGAGGTCCTGTATACCTCCCAACTTCAGCTCCCCGCCCAGAGCCGTGAGGTCCTGTATACGGCCCAACTTCAGCTCCCCGCCCAGAGCCGTGAGGTCCTGTATACGGCCCAACTTCAGCTCCCCGCCCAGAGCCGTGAGGTCCTGTATACATTCTACACTTTCAACGGATGTAGACGAGAATAATGCAGATAAACAGGTTCAACTTTCATCTCTGTGTATCACCGGAGGCCAGTCACTACACTGATATATGGAAGGAATTACAACCACTTTAACCCTTTCTCTACCGAACACTTTCACCCCCTTCCTGCCCAGGCCAATTTTCATCTCTCCGCGCTGTTGCACTTTGAAAATTGCGCGGTCATGCAACACTGTACCCATATGACATTTTTATCATTTCTTTGAGACAGACAGAGCTTTCTTTTGGTGCTATTTAATCACCTCTGTGTTTTTTATTTTTTTTTGCTAAACTAACCAAAAACAACTGAAGATTTTGAAAAAAAAAATTTTTTTCTTAGTTTCTGTTATAAAATTTTGCAGATAAGTAATTTTTCTCCTTCACTGATATGCGCTAATGAGGATGCACTGATGGGCACTGATGAGGAGGCACTGGTAGGTGGCACTGATGGGCATTGACAGGCATCACTGGGCACTGATAGGTGAAACTGACAGGTGGCACTGACTGGCATTGATAGGCAGCACTGACTGGCACTGATAGGTGACACTGAAAGGCAGCTCAGATGAGCGCTGATATGTGGCATTGATGGACACTGACAGATGGCACTGCTGGGGCTACACTGATCATAGGTAAGTGGCACTGATGGGCATTGACAGGCATCACTGGTGGGCATTGACAGACATCACTGATGGGCTCTGAAAGGCAGTTCTCATATATGGCACTGATAGGCAGTACTGACTGGCACTGATAGGTGGCACTGATTGGTAGCACTCATAGGTGGCACTGACTGGCACTGATAGGCGGCACTGATTGGTAGCACTCATAGGCGGCACTGACTGGCACTCATAGGCAGCACTGATTGGTAGCACTCATAGGTGGCACTGACTGGCACTGATAGGTGGCACTGAAAGGCAGCTTAGATGGGCAATGATATGTGGCAATGATGTGCATTGGTAGGCACTGATATGTAGCATTGATGGGTACTGACAGCTGGCATTGATGGACACTGACAGGTGGCACTGATGGGGCTACACTGATCATCAGGGAACACTGATTATCAGTGCCCTAATGATCAGTGTAGATGTCCCCTCTGAGTAATGCCGTTTACCGGCTCTGCTCTCCTCTCCTCTGTCAGCGTGACAGCTCGTGAGGAGAGAGAAATGCAGATAACTGGCATTTCCTTTATTTACATGCGATCAGCTGTGATTGGACACAGCTGATCACATGACAGAGCCAAAGTCATCGGCTCTTTCCGCTGATCAGTGATCTGCTGTGTCCGAGGGACACCGCTCACCACCGATCGGCGCACACACGTGGTTAGAGTGGGATGACGTCCTCCCAGAACGAGAGAACCACCACCCATCCATCATTCCCTTATGACAGGTGGGAGGCGGTTAATGTGCACTGAGCCATGCATGCGCAGCTCATCATACACTTATGGCATGGCCCTGCACTGTGACTCCTGCGCACATATCCTGGAGTGACGTCATCGCAGCTCAGCCAATCAAGAGGTCGAATAATTCTACTCCACTTTGGTTAAAATAAATCCACCTTAAATAATCGCTTCCCAAGACTTTTTCTAGATGAATGTAGATGTTGCCGTTTTCTAGTCGAAAAATGTGAATGTTGCTCCTTGCAATATAAGAAAGCAGAAGGTATGCCCCCCAACCCTCCCCATCCCAAAAAATCTAACTCCCTGTCTGAGTGAGTATCTCACTGCTTATAGCAGAACTCTGAACCCAGAATACAACGTTTTGGGTTTCTCCTGCAATAGGAAATTCATTTTTGGTTAGATATTCTTAGATTGTTAGCTGTAACGAGCCGGGCCCTCTGATTCCTCCTGCGTTTGTATTGTGATTGTAGTGTCTGCCCTCGTGTTGTACAGCGCTGCGTAATCTGTTGGCGCTATATAAATCCTGTATACTAATAATAGTCTGAATGCCCTGCCATGCTTGTAATTCTGTCATTGCTCTCTAGTAACAGAGTCCCTTTATGAGAAATACTCGCTGTCTTCTGTTTTTCGCTTTTTTTGCTGGCTGGGTGCGCAACGTGTTACTTCTGCAGTGCTTTCAGCAAGTGATGCCTGAGCAACCCAGCCAGAGAGTGACAACACAAGTGGTTCATCCACCTCTAAACAGATGCAGATTCCAGTACAACGCCGGGATCACACCGGGGGGGTATGGTTACCATTCAGAGTTTAGGCTGTATGAGGACGCGGTCAAACAAACTATTAGGTTTTATAAAGTAGCATCTAGAGCAGGGGGCTCCAAACTTTAACAAAGGGCCAGTTTACTGTCCTTAAGAATTTAGAGGGGCCACAATGTGACCATCGGGATTAGAAAATGTCACAGCTGTCAGTTACAGTAAACAGTGCCCATCCTTGGTGTCATTGGGAGGAATTGTGCCCTATCGTTGGTATCATTGGTATTAATAGTGTCCTATCGATGGTGTCATTGGGAGGAATTGTGCCCCAACGTTGGTCTGAATGGTGTCCCACCAGTGGTGTCATTGGGAGGAATAGTGCCTCCTCATTGGTGTAATTGGGCCCCATTGTTGGTGTCATTGGTAGGAATAGTGCCCCATCGTTGGGTCATTGGTAGGAGTAGTGCCCCATTGTTGGTGTCATTGGTAGGAGTAGTGCCCCATTGTTGGTGTCATTGGTAGGAGTAGTGCCCCATTGTTGTTGGTGTCATTGGTAGGAGTAGTGCCCCATCGTTGGTGTCATTGGTAGGAGTAGTGCCCCATCGTTGGTGTCATTGGTAGGAGTAGTGCCCCATCGTTGGTGTCATTGGTAGGAGTAGTGCCCCATCGTTGGTGTCATTGGTAGGAGTAGTGCCCCATCGTTGGTGTCATTGGTAGGAGTAGTGCCCCATCGTTGGTGTCATTGGTAGGAGTAGTGCCCCATCGTTGGTGTCATTGGTAGGAGTAGTGCCCCATCGTTGGTGTCATTGGTAGGAGTAGTGCCCCATCGTTGGTGTCATTGGTAGGAGTATAGTGCCCCATCGTTGGTGTCATTGGTAGGAGTAGTGCCCCATCGTTGGTGTCATTGGTAGGAGTAGTGCCCCATCGTTGGTGTCATTGGTAGGAGGAGTAGTGCCCCATCGTTGGTGTCATTGGTAGGAGTAGTGCCCCATCGTTGGTGTCATTGGTAGGAGTAGTGCCCCATCGTTGGTGTTATTGGTAGGAGTAGTGCCCCATCGTTGGTGTCATTGGTAGGAGTAGTGCCCCATCGTTGGTGTCATTGGTAGGAGTAGTGCCCCATCGTTGGTGTCATTGGTAGGAGTAGTGCCCCATCGTTGGTGTCATTGGTAGGTGCCCCATAGGTGTGCCCCATCGTTGGTGTCATTTGGTGCTAGGAACTGTGCCCCATCGTTGGTGTCATTGCTAGGAACTGTGCCCCATCGTTGGTGTCATTGCTAGGAACTGTGCCCCATCGTTGGTGTCATTGCTAGGAACTGTGCCCCATCGTTGGTGTCATTGCTAGGAACTGTGCCCCATCGTTGGTGTCATTGCTAGGAACTGTGCCCCATCGTTGGTGTCATTGCTAGGAACTGTGCCCCATCGTTGGTGTCATTGCTAGGAACTGTGCCCCATCGTTGGTGTCATTGCTAGGAACTGTGCCCCATCTCTGGCTTCATTGGGAGGAATTGTGCCCCTTCATTGGGCCCCATTGTTGGTGTCATTGGTAGGAATAGTGCCCCATCGTTGGTGTCATTGGTAGGAATAGTGCCTCATCGTTGGTGTGATGGGGAGGAATTGTGCCCCATCACTGGCTTCATTGGGAGGAATTGTGCCCCATCACTGGCTTCATGGGAGGAATTGTGCCCCATCATTGGGCCCCATTGTTGGTGTCATTGTGGGAACTGTGCCCCATCGTTGGTGTCATTGGGAGGAACTGTGCCTCATCATTGGGAGCAATTGTGACCCATTACTGGTTTCATTGAGAGGAATTGTGCCCAATTATTGGTGTCATTGGTAGGAATTGTGCCCCGTCATTAGTGCCATTGGGCCCCATTGTTGGGGTCATTGGGAGGAACTGTGTCCCATCGTTGGTGTCATTGGGAGGAACTGTGCCTCATTGTTGGTGTCACTGGGAGGAACTGTTCCATCATCATTGTTATCATTGGGAGGAATTGTGCCTCGTCATTGGCAGGAATTGTGCCCTATCATTAGTGCCATTGGGCCCCATTGTTGGTGTCATTGGGAGGAACTGTGCCCCATTATTGGTGTCGGTGAATGAAATCGTGCCCAAGGGCTGGATAAAACCAAGCCAAGGGCCGCAGCTTGGAGACCACTGATCTAGAGAGAGCTCCCACTGGCTCAGTGCAATTACTCTGGCTTTAACCTAAAGAGATATGACTAGAGAGGCAAACAGGGAGTGCGTTGTTGGCCGGCTCATAGTTTTGCATTGTGAGAGGGAGCCGTAAAGAACCAGCACTGTGCAGCACTGCAGAGCAGGAAGCAGAGCCTGCAGATGTAACAAGCAAATACGGCTTCCTCCATGGGCTTCTATCATTACACACTATGTATGTCTTTACTGAAAAATGACTGAAGAGAATTCTCTGCTTGGATTGGCTGTCATTGGTGTTTTTTTCTGTTTTATTTCAGACTTTCTATTCAAGTTCCTGGTCATTGGCAGCGCAGGAACAGGGAAGTCCTGCCTCCTGCACCAGTTCATTGAGAGCAAATGTAAGTATTTACTATCATTTAGGCCTTGTTCACACGGGCGATTACTTGTGTGCCCCATGCAGGGCTGTGTTATGCCGACACGGGGATGCACGACTGTCCGCTCAGCTGCATGTCCCAATAGAAATCTATGGGACTGACACCATGGGGATGCATGGAACACCCATGCATCCCCATGCCGGCATAAACAGAGCCCTACGCGGAGCGTGCAAGTAATCGCCCCTGTGAACGAGACCTTCCATTTGTCACAGACGATAGAATATTATTGTTCAGGAATTCTCTAGAAATATATAATAACCTAATACTCTTTATCGGAGGATTTACTCTTCCAAAACTGTGAGGATCAGGTGGGGGGGGATGGAAAGGCGACATTATGGCGTTTTAAAGGTTTTTAAGGGTTTCAAATGGCTTTTGACTGTTACTTCCATGTGAATGTTTTTGATTTTTTTTTGTGTAAAAAAACATTTATGCGCACAGTGTAGGACACGTGCCAAACACAAGACCCAGGGGCTGGATTCGACCCGTCAAGCCATTTCATGTGGCCCTTGTGTCCAGGGCTTTTCTTTAGCTGAAATGTGGCGGCTCCCCCGCTTTACCACTGTTATTTGTAAAAACAGAAGTCTTCTGTGTTTACAAGGACAGCTTTCCTCTTGGCGGCACACCCCGAAACCCTGAGATCTGCACTCTGCGCACAGCACGCCCCTGAGCTCTGCACTCTGCGCGCACGGCGCGCCCCCTGCACTCTGCGCACGGCGCGCCCCTGAGCTCTGCACTCTGCGCACAGCGCGCCCCTGAGCTCTGCACTCTGCGCACAGCGCGCCCCTGAGCTCTGCACTCTGCGCACAGCGCGCCCCTGAGCTCTGCACTCTGCGCACAGCGCGCCCCTGAGCTCTGCACTCTGCGCACAGCGCGCCCCTGAGCTCTGCACTCTGCGCACAGCGCGCCCCTGAGCTCTGCACTCTGCGCACAGCGCGCCCCTGAGCTCTGCACTCTGCGCACAGCGCGCCCCTGAGCTCTGCACTCTGCGCACAGCGCGCCCCTGAGCTCTGCACTCTGCGCACAGCGCGCCCCTGAGCTCTGCACTCTGCGCACAGCGCGCCCCTGAGCTCTGCACTCTGCGCACAGCGCGCCCCCTGAGCTCTGCACTCTGCGCAGCGCGCGCTCTGCGCACAGCGCGCCCCTGAGCTCTGCACTCTGCGCACAGCGCGCCCCTGAGCTCTGCACTCTGCGCACAGCGCGCCCCTGAGCTCTGCACTCTGCGCACAGCGCTGCCCTCTGAGCTCTGCACAGCGCGCCCCACAGCGCGCACAGCCCCTGAGCTCTGCACTCTGCGCACAGCGCGCCCCTGAGCTCTGCACTCTGCGCGCGCCTGAGCTCTGCACTCTGCGCGCCCCTGAGCTCTGCACTCTGCGCCCCTGAGCTCTGCACTCTGCGCGCCCCTGAGCTCTGCACTCTGCGCGCCCCTGAGCTCTGCTCTGCGCGCCCCTGAGCTCTGCACTCTGCGCGCCCCTGAGCTCTGCACTCTGCGCACAGCGCGCCCTGAGCTCTGCGCACAGTGCGCCCGCTCTGCCACCGCGCGCCCCCTGAGCTGTGCACTCTGCGCACCGCGCGCCCTGAGCTGTGCGCACGCGCGCCCCTGAGCTGTGCGCACCCGCGCCCCTGAGCTGTGCGCACCGCTCTGCGCAGCACCTGAACCCTGAGCTGTGCGCACCGCGCCCCCCTGAGCTGTGCGCACCGCGCGCGCCCTGCGCTCTGCGCACCGCGCGCCCCTGAACTCTGCGCACCGCGCCCCCTGAACTCTGCGCACCGCGCGCCCCTGAACTCTGTGCGCACTTAGCGCGCCCCTGCTGCGCACCGCGCAGCCCCTGCGCTTGCGCACCGCGCGCCCCTGAGCTGCGCGCCCTTGAGCTGAGCTGTGCACTTAGCACATCCGCCCCTGAACTTTGCACATCGCACATCCCGAGCTGTGCACTTATGCATCCTTGAACTCTGCACTTAGCACATCCCTTGAACTCTGCACATAGCACACCCTTGGTATTTATTGGCCCTTTAAGATCCTCCCATTTATTAATGCAGTAGTAAACCACACAAAAATTAAAAAAGAAAACAAGTCTGGCTCCTGCAGGTTTGTCATGATGTACTCTTATGCACTGCATACTAACACATTATGACAGATTTACCTGAACACGGAGCCCCCCAGCACAGCGCTGTCACAGCTCCTGGGCGCATCCATCTTTAGCCAGCCTTTCTTCCAAGTTCGCGAACTCCGGTTCTAGGAATGGCTGGAGCTGCAATGACGTAACGCCTGCGCATGCTCGCGGGAGCTTCGGCCTCGACATGGAGCTCTGAATGCATGGCGCGGGTATGCCATCCCTCCAGCACGCAAGCGCCGGTGATGTAAAAAAAAAAATCAAAGCAGTGAACGCATACGTAGGTTGCCCCTGCATATGTAAACGATGTTCGCACCACATATGTGAGGTATCACCATGAACGGGTGAACAAGAACCCCCCCAAATTCTGACAAACTCCAAGCATTGATTATGCAAGAATGGGCTGCCATCAGTCAGGATATGTCCCAGAGGCATGCCGGGGTAAATTGAGGAGGTCTTGAAAAAGAAGCAAATATTGACTCTGCATTCACGTGATGTAATGGTCAGTAAAAGCCTTTGACACTTATGAAAGGCTTGTAATTTTACTTCCGTATACCATAGTAACATCTGACAAAAAGATCGAAAAACACTGAGGCAAAAGACTTTGTGAAAACTAATATTTGTGTCATTCTCAAAACTTTTGGCCACGGCTGTACATTTCCATTCAGTCTTAAAATAGTGATGTTTCAAATTTTATTTATTTCAGGTACATACAGTGAAGGAAATGCGTATTTGATCCCCGGCTGATTTAGAATGTTTGCTCACTCACAAAGAAATGATCGGTCTAAAAATCGAATGTTCGGTGTATTGTAACACTGAGAGACAGAAGAGCAACAACAAATTCAAAAGAAACAAATGAGAAGGGCAAACATTCAAAATCAGCAGGGGATCAAATACTTATTTCCTTCACTGTATATAGCGCCATCAATTTACGCAGCACTTTACATATATATTGTACATTCACATCAGTCCCTAACCCTCAAGGGGTGTACAATCTAAGGTCCCTAACTCACATTCATACATACACATATTAGGGGCAATTTAGACAGGAGCCAGTTAACCTACCAGCATGTCTTTGGAGTGTGGGAGGAAACAGGAGTACCTGGAGGAAACCCACGCAGGCAAAGGGAGAACATGCAAACTCCAGGCAGGTGGTGCCGTGGTTGGGATTTGAACCAATGACCCTAGTACTGCCAGGTGGAAGTGAATTAAATTCTATGAACATCAGTGTGCTCAAAAAGTCCCAAGTTCTTGTACTCCAATAACTCTGTGCTCCGTTCCGTAATCCACTTCTGTAATAGGTAAAGACAGGACTGGAAGCCGTGCACTGACTATCACCCGGGTGGACAGAATCTCACCTTTTGAGAAGGATTTGAAGATTATAAAAGGTCAGATCAGGAGTTCCCCTTGAAACAGGGTTAATCTACAGTAGGCCAGGGTGCCATCTCCTGCACTTCTCAGCACAATGCAGACTTCAGAGTGATAGAAAATGTTAACCCTTTCATGCCGGCGCCTCCCGGCCCTTTAAGAGTTCCAGATGCCAGGGGGCGGGGTCCAGGGTCATGTGACGCGCCGTCACGGCGGTCACATGATCGGGAAAGGTTCCGATCGAAAGAGGAGATCGGGACCTTTCCGTGAGTACCAGACATGTGTGCTCTCTGCACACGTTCTTTTTTTAATAGAACACAAATGTGGGGCCGCTCGGTGTCTAGGCCCAGATGCCGGGAGGTCGCACATTTGTGTGCGGCCGGCGTGAAGAGGTTAAGGCTGATCATACACAAATAGGTTTTATGAATGGAAATAAATCTGACAGATTCCTCCGTCCATTCTACACAGCGCAGATGGACAAATTTCCAGGATTGGCTAGTGTGTAATGACAAGTGTACAATCCAAACGCACACATTTCCTGCGTTAAAAATGCCGGTGTGTATAAATGGGTGCTGCAGTGACCGTCGGCTGGAACCGAACAGAATCGGCAAGGGAGAATGTCACCAGCACACCGAGGATCATCAATATGGGTCCAAAAGTTTTAATGAACGATTACATAGTTACAGCAAGGCAACGTTTCGGAGTCTCGCAGGACCCCTTCATCAGGATTGGTGATCCTCAGTGTGCTGGTGACATGCTCCCTTAGTGTGTAATGACAGTCGCAACCAAGGTGCATACAGGTGCCATTTAAACATGGCACTCCAGATACCACGTTCACCCACTGCTTTTATACAATTGGTGGGGGGCAAGTGGCTAAATAATATTTTCTGCCTATAGGGCAGCTCATGACATCCAATATTTCTTCTAGTTAAACAAGATTCCAATCATACAATCGGTGTGGAGTTTGGATCCAGGATCGTGAATGTTGGCGGCAAGTCGGTGAAACTCCAGATCTGGGATACAGCTGGACAAGAAAGGTTTAGGTAGGACTTGGGTGCCATTTGGGATCTGGTTGCTGTTATTTGAATCCTCTTTCAAACCCAGACACTTTTTTTTTTCTACTTTCACGCTGATCCATTTTTGTTCTGCTTTTGTGTTTAAAAAAAAAGCAGAAGAAAAACGTGTGACCATGTATTCCTATGGGAGTCTTCACACTGATCCATTGCAGGTCCACTGCCTTTTTGAAAATCCTGCTCGTGGTGTTTTTGGTGCAGTAAAAAAAAAAGTTCCAAAAACGCACCTCTGCATTGAAGCCAATGGAAAAAGTGGCAAACGTGCATCAAAAATGCACCTGTGGTAGATTTTTGAGTCATATGTCCTGTAAAAAAAAACGGTAAAATCACAGTAAAAACAGATCAGTGTGAAAGTAGCCTAAAGGGGAAGAGAACAAAGGATGTTTGATCGGCTGCACTCCAAACAGTCCACTTTATTGGACCAAGATAAAACCAATACAGACAGTGGAAATACAGTGGGGACTGGCAGGTAAACACGTTTCATGCTAAAGACAGTGCTTATTCATTACCCCCCCCTCCCATGAACCAAGATAAAACCAATACAGACAGTGGAAATAGTGGGGGACTGGCAGGTAAACGTGTTTCATGCTAAAGACAGAGCTTATTCGTTATCCCATGGGGGGGGGGGGGCAATAAATAAGCTCTGTGTTTAGTGTGAAACACATTTACCTGCCAGCTCCCCACTGTATTTCCAATGTTTGTATTGGTTTTATCTTGGTCCATGGGGGATAATGAATAAGCATGGTCTTCGGCATGAAAGGAAAGACCCCCCATGGGGTAATGAAAGACCGTGCTTATTCATTATCCCATGGGGGGGGTAATGAATAAGCGCTGTCTTTAGCGTGAAATGCGTTTACCTGCCAGTCCCCCACTGTATTTCCACTGTCAGTATTGGTTTTATCTTGGTTCATGGGGGGGTAACAAATAAGCGCTCTCTTTGGGGTGAAATGCGTTTACCTGCCAGCCCCCCACTGTATTTCCACTGTCTGTATCTTCATCCAATAAAGTGGATTGTTGGGAATGCAGCCGATCGGACGTCCATTTGTTCTCATGTATGCAGCACACGAGCTGGGCGAGCACCTACAGGAAGAGTTGTACTCGGAGATTGGGAGTCTCTCTACCTTGAGCAGCGATAAACCTATATGTCTGAACAGCTTAAAAGGGAAGTATTGCTTTATGCCCTCCTTTTTTTTTTTTTTCCTCCTTTTTTCCCTCACTTTTTGGGTAGGGGAGCAGGTACTTGGCAGCGTCCGCTTCCACTTCCTGTCGGATCACCGCAGTAATCCCCGGAACCTTCTGGGGCACATCGCAAGTCCTAGAAGGCTGTGGGGCCATTCATGAAGCACAGTGCGGCATGCACATCGGGCACCTGGCTGTAAAGCCGCAAGGAGTCACCGCTAGGTGCCCACAGTTAAGAAGCCCACTCCACAAACTGAAGGACGGTAAAGAATGGGTTGGGGTGAGCACAGTGCTGGACCCCCCGGAGAGGTAAGTGTCCTTTTATTAAAGGTCCACAACTACAGTTATTTGTAGCTGCTAATTTTTAATTGTTTAGACACAGTGAAGAACCGCTTTAAGTAAGTGCACACGGGGACTGCAGCTCAGGGGGAAATCAAACCCTGCCTTGCTTGAATCAAAAAAACAATGTTTCATAAACCTCCATTAATAAATGATGCAAGGCCATAAGATATGCAGCATTTCCCGAGGCAGTCTATGAGAACGTGATTTATCATTGCTATGTCCTGTCTCCTCTTCTCAGATCTGTTACCCGCAGCTACTACAGGGGAGCGGCAGGGGCACTGCTAGTCTATGACATTGCAAGGTGAGCATGTGTTTGTTTATCTTGTTATCTGCTCTCAGATATGGGGTTTCTCCTTTGGAAAGGTTCTTTAAACCAGCTTTATGCAGCCAGGGGACGCCATGTCTTAGTTGGGCCCGCCCTGTGTACAGGAGCTCTGGTCAGACTTGTTAGTGCTGTTTGGTATTGGCCCAAGAAAGAGAAAATCATTAACTGCTTTGGATACAATTCCCAATGTCATATGATTGCTTGTCAAGCTGTGTACACAAACATGTCACATGCAGATGATGTAAAGAAATGATAACTTGCTTCCTCCTGACCCATCATATCAGATTTACATATCTTTGCTGTGTTATTCGTTTATTCAAAGGGTATCTAAACCCAAAAACACATTGCAGCATGCCAGTTCTTAGAAGTGGTGGCTGCTTTAGTTTTTTTTTTTTTTTTTTATTTTTTTTATTTCCTTTTTCATCTGATGTTCCTGGCAGTAACACACTTACTTTCTTAACCACTTCAAGTCTGGATACTTTCACCCCCTTCCAGTCCAGGCCAATTTTCAGCTTTCAGTGCTATCACACTGTGAATGACAATTGTGCTCTTATGCAACACTGTACCCATATGAATTTTTTTGAGACAAAAAAACCTTTTTTTTGGTGGTATTTATTCACCACTGGGATTTTTTTTTTTTTTTTGCTATATAAATGAAAAAGTCCCAAAATTTTGAAAAAAAGTGTTTTTCTTACAAAATTTTTGCAAATAAATAATCTTTCTTCATAAATATTGGCCAAAATGTATTCAGTTATCTTTAGTAAAAAAAAAAATAACCCAAATTAGTTTAGAACCAAAAATTATAATTTTTAAAAAAATATTTTACATCTTTATTTCTTTTTTAACATCTTTATTTCTTATTTTTTTTTTATTTTTTTTTATTTTATTTAAACATACTCTCACCCTAGCAGTACAGTGTCACCACGCAGTGACACTGTACTATTGTGGGGGGTGGTATCGATTTTTATTTATTTTTTTTTTTTTTTACACTGATTGCTTATACACCCATAAAGGCTGTAAAAGCAATCATTTCTCCTTCTCTCTTGACTGCATTCTTGCAGCCATTGAGAAATACTGTGTGAGCTGTGATTGGTCACAGCTTGTCACATGGTACAAGGCTGTTGTGAATAGCCCTGTACCATGTGAACTCTGTGATCATTTACAGATTTCATAAGTAGTAAGCAATGATGTCAGAAGTGACATCTTGCTTACTACTATTCATGTGATCAGTGATCACATGAATCGGGTCCTCACACAGAGGTCCCGTACAGCCATCTGTGTTCCGCTGTGTCCAGAGGACACAGCTGGCACCGGATCGCGGTGCTGCGCACTCCCAGGGAGCACACGCAGGCTGTGAATGTGGGCGCAGTTTATAAACGCGCTCGCTGTCAGAGCCATAGAAACTGTATGTAGCATCAGCTACATACAGTATACAGAGCTGTGTTCCAGGTGTGGTATGGGGACTTCCTGTCCCATTCCTGGAACAAAATCGAGTCAGGCTGAATGCTGCTCAACCATTCACAGGAAGCTTTGTATTTCATCAATGAATACAAGGCTTCCTCTGGCTGAGATGGAGATTGTGATGTCATCGCAATATCCACCTCAGCCAATCATAGGAGGCCTTGTATTCATTGATGAAATACCGCTGAGCCTGACGACTGGTGAGCTGGTGAGCGCCGCTGAGCCTGACGACTGGTGAGCGCCGCTGAGCCTGACGACTGGTGAGCGCCGCTGAGCCTGGTGACGAGCTGGTGAGCGCCGCTCTCAGCCTGGCTCCACTTTATTCCGGGAACACAGCACTGTATTCTGTATGTAGCCGATGCCAAGGCTTCATACAGTTTATACAGCACTGACAGCGGCAGCATGTATTAGTATTGGAAAGATAGTTTTGGTCAGCTTGGCCTAATGAACTGTTTAAGACTCTGTTTAGACCTCGGTTGAGTCACGTTTCTACTGCCAGCCAAAAGCTGCCCCCCTAAAAGTGTTACTAAACTCACAACAGTAAAATCAGTCTATATATGCAGTAAAGCATTCTTGACATATGCACGGTGGAACCTAAGGGGTTAATCCTCCACATTTATGTAAGAAGGCCGTTTGATTACGTCTTCCCTGATCCTCCCCTTCCTCTGTCCCCAATCTATCTGCTGGTAGTATAGAGCCCTAGGAGACACTCTGCACACGCTCAGTTTGGTGTGCATTGCTAGAGAGGTTTTTTTTTTTTTCGTGTGTTTTTTTTTGGAGGGAGGGCGATTGTGATCGGCACATGGCCAGTCAGCACTGTCCAGACAGGGTAAGGGGTCATACAGCCTCATAGGACAGTCAGAGGAGAATGAAAACTACAAGATTAACCAGTGCTCAGCCGGACACTGATAGAAGTCACAAGACTGCTATATACTGCTGATGAGAAAAGGTATTTAGCAGTTTATATTTACTAAAATAATTGCGTTTCCATTTTCTATGAATGCAGGGTCCAGGGAGACCAGATATAGTGAATGCAGGGGGAGACCAGGGAGACCAGATATAGTGAAATGCAGGATCCGGGTGAGACCAGATATAGTGAATGCAGGATCCGGGGAGACCAGATATAGTGAATGCAGGGTCCGGGGAGACCAGATATAGTGAATGCAGGGTCCGGGAGACCGGATATAGTGAATGAAGGGTCCGGGGAGACCGAGACCGGATATAGTGAATGAAGGGTCCGGGGAGACCGGATATAGTGAATGCAGGGTCCGGGGAGACCGGATATAGTGAATGCATGGTCCGGGGAGACCGGATATAGTGAATGCAGGGTCCGGGGAGACCGGATATAGTGAATGCGGGGTCTGGGGAGACCGGATATAGTGAATGCGGGGTCCGGGGAGACCGGATATAGTGAATGCGGGGGATCCGGGGAGACCAGATATAGTGAATGAAGGGTCCGGGGGACCGGAGACCAGATATAGTGAATGAAGGGTCCGGGGAGATCGGATATAATGAATGCAGGATCCGGGGAGACCGGATATAGTGAATGCAGGGTCCGGGGAGGAGTGACCGGATATAGTGAATGCAGGGTCCGGGGAGAGCGGATATAGTGAATGAAGGGTCCGGGGAGAGCGGATATAGTGAATGCAGGGTCCGGGGAGAGCGGATATAGTGAATGCGGGGTCCGGGGAGAGCGGATATAGTGAATGCGGGGGTCCGGGGAGAGCGGATATAGTGAATGCGGGGTCCGGGGAGAACGGATATAGTGAATGCGGGGTCCGGGGAGAGCGGATATAGTGAATGCGGGGTCCGGGGAGAGCGGATATAGTGAATGCGGGGTCCGGGGAGAGCGGATATAGTGAATGCGGGGGTCCGGGGAGAGCGGATATAGTGAATGCGGGGTCCGGGGAGAGCGGATATAGTGAATGCGGGGTCCGGGGAGAGCGGATATAGTGAATGCGGGGTCAGGGGAGACCGGATATAGTGAATGCGGGGTCCGGGGAGACCGGATATATGTGAATGCGGGGTCCAGGGAGACCGGATATAGTGAATGCGGGGTCCGGGGAGACCAGATATAGTGAGTGCAGGGCCCGGGGAGAGCAGATATAGTGAGTGCAGGGCCTGGGGAGACCTGATATAGTGAATGCGGGGTCCGGGGTTTAGTAACATTTTAAGCCGCAATAGGTAGGTGAAAGGGGCGTTTACATGCCGCAGCCATGATGCTTCGTTTTGCACCCGTGGCAATGTTCATCTGACATGTAATGATCGGCAAGTAGCAAACCCGCCCAACACTACAGTCTAGCAAATAGGGATGTGCCGCAAACGCCACACAACTGTTTGCAATGCACATGGCTGCAGCACAATTGTTGGCAAATATGGGGTTAAAACTGGAGGTGAGGAGGCGTCGCATCGCTTCCTCATTGCCTGTCAGTAGTTTCTGGAGCGAGATATGAATATCTACCCCAATACAGAAGTGCGAGATTGGGAAGAAAAACAAACACAGCCACCTAGATGGCTGCATTATGGATCCGATGCTGCAGCTGTGCTATGCTCGCTCTAAGACTGAGTACGGAGCAATCACATGGCTGCTGACCTCTCAGTTCTTGGTCTGCAGAAAGCAGTGACTGTCAGTCACTGGCTCTCTGCTCTGCCCCTCCAGCACACACTGGAGTACCGGGCTTTGGAGAGGGTGGGAGTGGCTGGCTCAGGCTTTCAGTGGCGCACTAAGAGGCTGAGCCAGCTGCTGGTCTGGCATTTGGGCAGATCCTGACATTGATGTCAGGATCCCTGTGACGTTAGATAACAGTGGACTTTTATCTGCTGTCTCCTGAATCTGGGTCACAGGAGTGCAGTACTAATTGGAAAAAACATTTGGCCATACTTCTCCTTTAAAGTAACAGAAAACCTGGAGTTAGACTTTAATAGAAACCTGTCATGTGAAAAACTTTATTATACAGTGACAACAGTTGCATAGCGCTTTAGAAAATGAAGGCAGATGTAGAAAAACACAAAAGTAATGGCAGAAAAGAGGTCCATCGAGTCTGCCTTTTTTTTTTTTTTGTTTTTTTTGTATGTTTGTTATTTTTTTTTTTGCGGGGGATTGTGTGCTTTTAGTTTCTATTTTTTTTTTGGGGGGGGGGGGGGGTACCTTTTGTTTTGTCTGAGTATAGATCTATGTTTGTCCCAAGCATGTTTGAAAGTATTTACTGTTGACTGGCTCACTACCTCTGCTGGAAGTTTATTCCAAGCATCAACTACTCTTTCAGTAAAATATTACTTTCTGAGATTAGTTTTGAAGTTTCCTCCAGTTTAAGGTCATGTTCCCGTGTTCTTGATTTTGGTTTCGTGTTGAAAATACTAACATTACAGTTCAATACAGGAGGAATCCGAGGGCCCTACTTCTTAGAGCTCACAATCTAAAAGGTAATGGTATCACCTGAAAATGCTGCTGGTCACGGTGACCCTTTTTGCTTCAATACTGTAAGACACGGACAAGGTACAAGTGTGTGGTTCAT